AGGATAAAGTTCTAGGCCAGAGAAATTCATTCTTTCTTATAATGTTTTTGAATAAAAATAGTTTTTGAGAAGTTGAGTGATCCAATGATCATATCAGTGATTAAAGACTCCTAGGAACCCAAAAGGCACCAAATCATTTTTAAAATATTTATTGAGGGGCCAGCAGGTGGTGTGGTGGTTGAGGCTCTGGACTCCCTCATGGCCAACTGTGGTTCACATCCTGGACCTGCTTTCTTGCTTCCCACTCCCCCCATTCTCTATCCCTCCCTGGCCAAATAATAATAATAATAATAATAATGAATAAATTTAAATAAATAATTATTTTACAAATTTATTGAATGTATGCCAGCTGTTACTGTTCAGACAGTGGAAATATAGCAAGGTCCCCTTTCCAGAGACAGCTCTCTGAGTACTATAGAGGGATCACTAAAAACACACTGACAGGAACAGCTTAAGGTGTGATGGTTTAGGTGCTGGATTCCCACATGGACAGTCGTGGTTTGGGTCCCGGATCCCGTGGCTTGAAAATCATGCAAGGTATGTGTGCATGTGTGCCCAAAATCCCAGGAAGAGAAAGGACGAGAAGGGATTGCAGTGTAGCCATTTCCCCACCCCCAACCCCTACCAGGGGGTGATTTCTCACTTTCCCTCTCTCTGTCTCTCCCCAGCAAGTGCATGTGCCCTATGGCAAAACAAACACACAAACAACACAGTGGCAGCCTGGAGCTCCACAATTTATGGCTAATTAATTAAAGTGTCCTACTATAGACTTAAAAAAAAATTGAACAATAAGCAGAGAAAAAGTAAAGATCCTTTATAAAATTAACTATAAGCCCCAGAAGAACACATAGGGTCACATAAGTTTTTTTTGTTTAAATCGCACTTATAAGATACCAGGTTTTTTTTTTTTGAGAGGTTTTTGCTACAGGGCGTGTGCGCTCGCCAGACAGAGAGAGACAGACAGAAAGCGAGAAATCACCCCTCGGGGTTATGGCCATGCCGCAATCCCTTTCTCCTCCATTCTCCTCCTGGGATCTTGGGCACGCATGCACACGCGCCCAGCGTGAGTTTAAGTCACCAGGTCTGGGACTCGAACTGTGGTTGACTACATGGGAGTCCAGCAACATAGCCATTACGCTATGTATATATATATATATATATGTGAGTGTGTGTGTGTGTGTGTGTGTGTATATATATATATGTATGTGTGTATATATATGTGTGTGTGTAGGCAAATATTCCAAAATTCAAAAATATCTGAAATCTAAAACACTTCTGGTCCTAAGCATTTCAAATAAGAAATACTGAACTTGTAAGTAAGAAAGCGAGCAGACAACCACTAAGTATCAACGTCAACCTCACCATCGAGAGGCAAACAGATGGTCCTTTCCTCCAGATGTGATTCCTGAGAAGTAAGCAAGCCCCAAAATGCACAACCTGAATCTAGCTGCAAGGAGACCAGGAAATGCAGAGGGGGGGCTTCCCTATACAACGACTTGCCTGTATTCTTTAAAAACGTCTGAGTCATGAAACATAAGGAAGGCCGAGGAATGTGTTCCAGATTAGAGGCCAAAGAGACACGGCAGTGAAATATAATAGTGGTCCTAAGCTGGGTGCTGTCCTAGAGGGAAAAAAATGCAGTAAATGACATTACTGGGACAACTGACAAAACTGGAATATGGACTGTAGATTAAAGTATTAAATGTCCTGAATTTGCTAACAGTACTGTGGTTATATAAGAGGATATCCTTGTTCTTAGGAAATACACAATGAAACATTGGGAGGATATAAGCCGTCTACTGTCAAATGATTCAGAAAAAAAATAATTTTTCTATCTATTTATCTATCTCTCTATGTGTGGATTTGTGGGGGAGGGAAAGAAGAGAAAGCAATGAAAACAAACATGGCAATATGATGTCAAAATGGGCAAAATCGAGTAAATGGTGTGTTATACTATAGCAATGTCAAAATAAAAAAGTTACAAAAGACAAAACAAAATACATCAGCCAAAACAATTGGGAGGGGTGTTCAGTGTTTAATTGGCTTTAATGAGCAGTAAAGTAATTTAACTTGTAATTCGTAGTGCAAGATAAAGAGCTTTATATCAGCTTTATATCTTTAGAAATATTTTTTCTTTTTTTTTTTACATTTTTTTATTTAATTTTCTTTTATACATTCAATCACATCATTTAGCTTACAAAGTGAATATTTCAACATGTGAACATTTCTCCCCAGTCCAGTTGATAAGACTATAAAATATCTTCAACAGATAATATCACGTTCCTACCATTACCGTAACCACGGCCATAATCACGGAGCACTTACTAAGTGGTGAGCACCCCTTATCCACGAGGAACGCATTCCGAGATCCGAGTGGACACTCGAAACCACAGGTGGCACTCAATCTCGTGTTACTAATTTTTTTATACTTAAGATAAAATTATCATATAAATTAGGTGCAGTAAGAGATTAACAATAACTAATAATGAAATAGAATACTTTAACAATATAATAAAAGTTATACGGATGTGGTCTATTTCTCCCTTAAAACATCTTATCGTACTGTTCACTCCCTTCTTGTGATGACAGGAGACGATAAAATGCCTGCCTGATAAGAGAAAGTGGGATGAATGACCGAGGCATTGTGAAAAGCATTTAACCTTAGGAACTGTTTATTTCCGGAATTTTCCATTTAACATTTTTGGGCCAGGTAGGTAACAGAGAGTGGAAAGTAAAGCTGGAGCTGGGGGTTGGAGACTACCGTATGGGGGCTCTAAAAGGATTTGAGGAAATGATAAAATGAAAGCATTCTTTTGGGAAAATGGATTTGACAGAGCTGTTCACATGGTTTGATGGGAAAAACTAAGACTCTACCTACTAATAGAATACAGATTAAGTAGAATTGTATGTATGATGAAACAATTTACCTTTCTTTTCAGTTTTCCACAAAAACAGAAACCACAAGTTTGGGCCTGCTGAAAACACCATGAATGTCTCCCGTGGTGGAAACCACTCGCAGGCGGGATCGGGCAGCGGGGCAGTCTGTCTCGCTATCTGTCTGATGTCAGGAGACTGCCCCATTTGCCTGGCTCCCGACCTCATAGACGTGGTACTTTCTGCAGTGGTTTCTCTATTTTCCATAAAGGTTACTTCTAGGGCTAGCAGATATCATTCTGGAGGATAAAGTTCTAGGCCAGAGAAATTCATTCTTTCTTATAATGTTTTTGAATAAAAATAGTTTTTGAGAAGTTGAGTGATCCAATGATCATATCAGTGATTAAAGACTCCTAAGGAACCCAAAAGGCACCAAATCATTTTTAAAATATTTATTGAGGGGCCAGCAGGTGGTGTGGTGGTTGAGGCTCTGGACTCCCTCATGGCCAACTGTGGTTCACATCCTGGACCTGCTTTCTTGCTTCCCACTCCCCCCATTCTCTATCCCTCCCTGGCCAAATAATAATAATAATAATAATAATGAATAAATTTAAATAAATAATTATTTTACAAATTTATTGAATGTATGCCAGCTGTTACTGTTCAGACAGTGGAAATATAGCAAGGTCCCCTTTCCAGAGACAGCTCTCTGAGTACTATAGAGGGATCACTAAAAACACACTGACAGGAACAGCTTAAGGTGTGATGGTTTAGGTGCTGGATTCCCACATGGACAGTCGTGGTTTGGGTCCCGGATCCCGTGGCTTGAAAATCATGCAAGGTATGTGTGCATGTGTGCCCAAAATCCCAGGAAGAGAAAGGACGAGAAGGGATTGCAGTGTAGCCATTTCCCCACCCCCAACCCCTACCAGGGGGTGATTTCTCACTTTCCCTCTCTCTGTCTCTCCCCAGCAAGTGCATGTGCCCTATGGCAAAACAAACACACAAACAACACAGTGGCAGCCTGGAGCTCCACAATTTATGGCTAATTAATTAAAGTGTCCTACTATAGACTTAAAAAAAAATTGAACAATAAGCAGAGAAAAAGTAAAGATCCTTTATAAAATTAACTATAAGCCCCAGAAGAACACATAGGGTCACATAAGTTTTTTTTGTTTAAATCGCACTTATAAGATACCAGGTTTTTTTTTTTTGAGAGGTTTTTGCTACAGGGCGTGTGCGCTCGCCAGACAGAGAGAGACAGACAGAAAGCGAGAAATCACCCCTCGGGGGTATGGCCATGCCGCAATCCCTTTCTCCTCCATTCTCCTCCTGGGATCTTGGGCACGCATGCACACGCGCCCAGCGTGAGTTTAAGTCACCAGGTCTGGGACTCGAACTGTGGTTGACTACATGGGAGTCCAGCAACATAGCCATTACGCTAACTGCTGGCCCCAAGATACCAGTTTTGAAGTTTATTCAAGCCACTAGATATCTCCCAAGCTCTTAGAACAGTACTGGCCCCCAAAATGTGCTTAATAAAAAAATAGTTGCGTGGCACTGTTGAACCGAATGGATTTCAAAGTGAAATGAGACGTCAGCTACTCTCCTCATTTCTCTAAAGCAGTGAGGCCATCTCGGGTGCCTGCATTGTAGATGCCTACTTGGCAAAAGGGACATGTCCAGGTATTAAACTTCTAATGCAATACTTTTAGAATCAGATCACGTATTCATGTGCAAAATGGCATCTTATGAAATCACAGCAAAGCCATTCACGAAAGCAACGTATGAGTTGTGCACAGGGCTACTCACTGACAGGACCACCTGAAGCCCACAGACTGGCTTCACCCACTGATTTTAATTCCAAATGACAGAAGTTCTCTGTTTATTAGAAATATCTAAGAAGAACCTGCATTTAACTACATGCATTAATTAGGAATATCTAATGACGAAATGAACCTACGTGTCTGTTGACAGGTAAAATAAGCACACTGATGTCTGATTCTCCTTCCGCATCATTGCACTTGCTAGTGTAGAGACCAGTCTTGTTTTCCTACTGTGGACAAAAACATTCGCTGTCAAGTTCCCTTCATCTTGGCCTTTATTTGCCCTTGCAGAGGCCTTACCTGCATAATGTACCGGGATCTCTATCTTTGGCCCAATGACATAGTGCCCCTCCTCCAGGCTGTGGGCCGTGATGGTGGTCCACTGACGGCACGAGTGAATCAGAAGGTAGTCATTTTCCCGCAGCCCTTCTATGCACTCTCCTAGAAAATAAAATTTATATAAGGAATTTGCAATTCACCTCTGCTTACTCCACACTCTGCAATACAATTGCATTCGTTAAAACTTCACTAATACAGAAGTTGACACTTCATCCAAAGATGAATGAATAAAACAAAAGCATTTCACACCAAGTTGATGATGGCACAAAAGACTTCATCAAAACATTTCCCACTTATTTGCAAAGAGATATTCAAAGACCCCCATTGTACCTAAATGATTATATGCAATGACAATAAAACATTTTAAAGTGCCTACAACACATGAGGCACTGTGTAGATGTTTTCCATATACTAATTTATATAATAAAATAATTTTATGAAGTAGGTAGCCCTCCTTCTTAACAGTGAGAAAACTCAAGGTTCGGAATGCTGAAGAACATGTTGAAGCTCACGGATTGAACAAGCAGAAAAGCAAGGATTCAAACCTAGGTCAGTCTCCAAAACTTATTCTCTCTCTCTTTTTTTAAAAGAGATTTTTGTTATAGGGCATGTGTGCTCACCAGAGACACAGAGAGAGATAAATCACCAGAGACAGAAAGTGAGAAATCACCCCCAAGGGAGGATGGCCATGCCACAATCCCTTCTCCTCCATTCTCCTCTTGGGATCTTGGGCACAAATACACATGCTTGGTCTATTTTAAGCCATCAGGTTTGGGAACAACTGCAGTCAACCACATGGGAGTCCAGTGACATAACCATTACGCCATCTGCTTGTCCCAATTAAAACTTATTCTCTTAGTACAATAAAACGACCAAAAACAAGTAACAAATTTATCTCCTTGTTGGAAGAGGACTTGAAATTAGATGTCTATATTTCCTTTTAAATTTTATGTTTGCCAGTTTTTTCTAGCCTCCTACCAAATCTCTAATCAATTAAAAATAGTGAAAGTTTATAGAGTACAAATAAAATTATTTTTATCTTAATATTTTCTTAAGTACCTTTTAGCATCTGAACTTATGACAAACTATTTTTAAAAGAAAATTTTTTTCTTTTTTTTTTTGGAGAAGCTTTTGGTATAGGGCGTGTGCGCTTGCCAGACAGAGAGACAGAAAGAGAGAAGTCACCCCCCAGGGGGGATGGCCATGCTGCAATCCCTTCTCCATTCTCCTCTTTGGATCTTGGGCATGCATGCACATGCGCCCGGCGTGAGCTTTAAGCCACCAGGTCCGGGACTTGACCTGCGGTCGACTACATGGGAGTCCAGCAACATAGCCATTACACTAACTGCTGGTCCCAGAAAATTTATTTCTTAAACCTTAAAAAATGATTTTTAAATGTTGAAATAATTCATCCCATTAATCTTGCGATTTTTAAACTTAAAATGTGCAATTTAGTAATTCTTTTCTTCTTTTTAAAAAGGTTCTATAAGGTATGTATGCTCACTGAAGAGAAAGAGAGAGAAGTAGAGGGGGGAAGGAGAGAGAGAGAGATTGAAAATAGTAAGAAAGCACCCCCATGGGAGATGGCCACACCACAATCTCTTCTCCTCTATTCTCTTGGGATTTTTGGGACACACACACACACACACACACACACACACACACACCCGTCCAGCATGTTTTTCAAGCCAACAGATCTGGGACTCAAACCATGCAGTCAGCCATGTGAGATCCAGCCTCCTTAACCACCACCCCACTGGCTGGCCCAAATTTAGTCATTCTAAATGCAAGAAAAAAAATAAGAAGCCTGAAAAGACTAATTCCATTATACAAAAAACATACTTCCTTACTGTATAACAGTAACAGAGTTACTAGTGATTTTACTAAGTGCTTTGAAGTGGCACTTACAGACGTCTCAATAATTCTTAAAACTATTAGTATTTTCTATTTTTTTTTTCAGTAAGTAGAGAGAGCTGTAATGGTCAACTCTGTTATTTTAATCATAAATCATCTTTTTTTTTTAGAGAGAGATATTTTTGCTACAGGGTGCATGCACTCACTGGAGAGACAGAGACAGAGAGAGAGGGAGAGAGAGAGAGAGAGAGAGAGAGAGAGAAGAGAAAGCGAGAAATTACACACCAGGGGAGTTGGCCACACTACAAACTCATCTCCTCCATTCTCCTCTCAGGATGCTCCCCTCGTGGGTTTCTTTTTAAGAATTATTTTATTTACCCTTATTTATTTATTAATTTATTTAATTGATGAGGGGGACAGAGGGGTGGGAGTGAGAACGCAAGCTGCCAGGTCTGGGTCTTGAATCATGGTTGGCTATGTGGGAGTCTGGGGCCCCTAACCACCATGCCACCTACCAACTTTCCCCCTGCCCCCACCTCCCTGGTGAATTTCAAGGTACCCCTAGACCAGGACTCAAACCATCTAAAATTTGTTTCCAATAATGCAGCAATCTGTAAAACAGTCTTACTGCAGTACTTTGTCTTGTGGAGAAAATACAGAGTTCAAAGATTTACTGAGGATGGGGTGGGACAAACAGACTTGGAAGTAAAGGTACATTAGCAGAGGAGGGAAGACCCACTACCTACAGGGAAATTTTTCAAACCAGACTCCCCTGCCCTTCATACTTTGGAAGAACCGGTCTTCTGCGTAAAGATGCCTCCTGGAGACCACTAATACCCAGTAATGTCCCAGACTGAATGAGGCCTTTGGGTGTGGTGAGATTATTAGCTCTTTGTGCCCCTCAAGCATGCTGGGGCAGGAAAGAACAATCTAGAACCTCTGCTCTAAAGGAGAAATCATGCAGCTCTCTGCTTGACTCCCCACCTGGAGAGCCAGGAAAGTGAGAAGAGTGCACACGGAGCAGCAGATCTGGGCTCAGGGGATGTGCTGCCCCCAGCTCTGCATGGCCTTGGGCAGGAAGCTTTTTCTTTTCACCTATGAAACAACAGTCCCTGCTTCCCAGAGGAGTTGTGAAGGTACACGGTGACAGGAGATGAGAAATGTGGCCCTCAGTCTGGCATAATAGAGTGAGGAGGAAACACCAGCTGTTACTTTAATTGGACGCTTTTTTTCCTGAAATTTAATCCTTATGTAAACACTGTAATTTAGGTCACATTATCCTTAACCAGTTAGAAAGTGGCCTTCAAGAGGAGTCGAGAAATTTGCCCACAGATAGTGAGTGGCGGAAACAGACTTCGGAGTCTCCGAATCTCTCCTTACCCTTCCAACACAATGCCCCTTACCTCAAAAACCCCTGAGAAACACGTAGAAGCTGACCTTTAGCTCCAAGTGTCACCTATGGACTTGACCAACAGCACTGTTTCCAGCACTAATGAACAAAACAAAGATCCCTGCCCTAGGGCACTTACTGTCCCTGCAGTTTGGATGTCCCCACAACATTCCGGAGTTGAGACTGATTTGTACTGTAAAGGTATTAAGTGAAAATTTAATCCCTTCATGGTGTCCCTGACTGAGTGAGGCCTTTGGGTGTGGTAAGATTATTAGAGCAGGGCCCCCATGACTACGTTTTGATGGGTTTATAAGTAGGGGAAATAAAACCAGAATAAGAGATAGAGGCAGAGAATGAGAGAGACACAGAGAGAGGGAAAACAAAACAACAACAACAAAAACCTCATGGATACAGACCATACTCTGCTTTGCTAAAAGTTCTGCCTTCTGCCATTTTGCAATGCCTTTGGCCTTTCCAACTGCCAGAATTGTGAGTTTTGCAAATAAACCTCTACTGTCTTTATAAACCACCCAGGTCTTTGAGATTTCTGCTAGCAATGCAAAAACGGACTTAAGACATCCATCCAACAGGGAGGAGACAGTCAACAGCAACAATAAAAATGAATAGTGGGTCTTCGGAAAAGTCATGATGCATTTTTGCATAGAAAAACACATCATAATTTTTCTAATGACCCAATAATTACATTATGGATTACCTAGGTGATAAAAAGTACTCTGGGAAAAAGTAAAGGGTAAGAGGATCCGGTTATACAAGAGAAGGGGCAGTGTGCATGTTCGTTGTTCTAAAATATTCCTTATTCATTTATTTCATAACCATTTATTATGTGTCTTTTACACACAAACAATGAGGGTCTGGGCAAAAATATAAAGGAGAGTTCATCCCTGCATTCAAGGAAACTGACATTCTTGGGGAGATGAGCTCACGTGTAATTTTACGTAAGGTACGACATGACCAGTGCTATGCAAGAGGGACAGGAAACCTAGAGTGAAGGTGAGGACTTTAGCAGAGATGGTCAAGAAAAATGTTAAAGGGAAAACATGACAATAGGGATGTTCCTTCTTTGATGAATGCGTTGGGCTTAGGTGAGAAGGAGGCAATGGGGAACCATAGAAGGTTTATGGGTAAGAGAATGACCACAGATCTTCTTTAGGAAAATTAATACGGGAGTACTATAAAAAATGGAACAGAGAAGGGAGTAATCAGAGCCGTGGGGCATATGCAGGAAGCCCAGAGGGATAGCATACTGCCATTGAGGGAAAAAAGAAGGATGTCTTTTTCTGCAGCAAAGTTGTTATATCATAAAAACTGTTTTAATTTTATTCCACAGTGGGCTCTAAAGAGGCAGCCAAGAAACAACTGCAGTCAAGTTAATCAAAATTAAAATGTAATGTTAAATCCTATTGCTAGCTGGTGTAGTATACACTTTAGCAAGAGGATTCAGAGTGATTTTCCAGGCCATAAAGTGGTAAGAAACCAATGCCTATTTTTCAGCTGATGTCTTTATTTTTTTAAACAACTGAACCGTGTGCCAGCTTTAGGCAAAAAAAGTTTCACAAAAATTGTCTAGTGATAAAACCTAATATAATCACTTAAAATATCCTAAAGTGGGCCATTAATAGAGATACTACACTAAATGAATTCATAAAGTAAACATTCTTGTGATATAATTATCTCATTGTTTAACTACTATGTAAAATGTACTAAAAATTGAATATTTAGCTCAACAATGTAGTCACAAGCAGTCTAAAGGATCTGTGTGTTAAATTCTAAAATATGTGAATACCATCCTGAAATTTCCCCATATCTAGCAGCTTCTGGAATATTCTTTACTTGCCTG